GCGTTGATTTAACAAAAGTTTAGGTCCCAAGAATGGACACTAGTCATCGCACATTTCTCTCTCTCTGCCCTGACCTCCAGGCACCATGCCTGGCATTATGTCCTTTAAACTAATGCATCCTCTGCCCCTGCAACACTCGCACCAAGTCAAGCTCATGTAAAGCTGCAATTTAAAGTGATCCGGATTTTTCTCAGTTCACTGACACTAATGAGATTTTCAAGCATCCCTTTTGCCTTCTGCAAAAATGCTGTTTCTACCACCTTTAAATATACTTAATCAAAAGGTTCCGTTACATACCCAGACACTTGGCTTCATTAATAGAGGACTGCTCTAAAATCACAAATAAAAATTAGAGCTGCATCGACTGCAATTTTCTGGGCTGATTCTGATTTCTTTTTGAGTCTGACCTGCCAATTCCGATTTTGGCCAAACTGTAATTGACAGCATGCGCAGACATTTTTGAAAATTTTCTTTAATGAAAAATGTACAAGTAATAAAAAATAAAACACTGCATTAAAGTTTTACAGTCTGTTTTTCCTCTCACTTTTTCTTACAAACCAACTAAAAATGAAGTGCAATATGTATACATCCCAAATATAAACAGGTGCAACGTGTAACAAACAGAAGATTGTCTGTTACATCAGTTCTACTGAGCAAATAGTACTTTCAAAGTGTGTAGCTTGTATTTGCTGTGTTTTACCATGGGTTGGAAGCACTGTACATAAACATTCATTTCATGTGTGGCCAGTAATTGTCTCATTGCGTACTATTTGTCCGAGATTTGGACGTAATTTGCCTTCTCCGAGGTGTTTCTGTAGGATCCTCTGTGCACTTTCTGTACACCAGGGGCTTCCAATGTGCAAGTGAACAGGCTTTCAGTACAGAGATGAGCACAAGGCTCGCTCAAGGTACATGTGAGATGCTACATGCTGCACACACTATGCTTTTGGTCTGTGCCACTACGTGCACAAAGTGGACTTTAGTGCCTCTAAATATGATCGACACGGGATCAGAAATCTGAGAGTGAACGCCGGTCACCAGTCAAGGCCAATCACGCTGAAAACCAGCCATTTCTGATCTCCACTGATCAATCGGTGTATCTCTAATAGAAATGCAATGAAAAGAGGTGTTTGGATAGACAGTCAAGAATTAGACACGATATGGTTTCAAGAATATGAAGAAAAACAGATGTTAATACAAACTGCTCTAATTACAACACTGTTTCCATCATAGTTTCTATAAGGGTGCTTTAATGGCAACTACAGACCTGTCATTAACATAATGTGTCACTATAACAACTGTTACATCCAAAACACACACACACACACACTTACTGCTAGTCCATAACTTTAATCTGACACCTGGAATACATACTGAAGCATCGACCTTTGTTTCATCCACAACAAGAAATCAAGATTAAAACTACACAAAGCTGATTCAGTGAGAGGAGTCTTACTGAGGCCTTCCCACATCCACAACTGACAACTGAGAAATTGAAGAAATTAAACGTTATATTTGCAATTTAGATATGAACCTTCTCAGAGCAAAAGAAAAATGCTCAACCTAAAATGAATTTTATTAAGAATATATGTGAAGAAAGGGAAATATGATATCACTAAAATATGTCACTGAAGATGTATGCTACTCTGTCTTCTTAGTAGGCTCAAGCTAAAACATAACCAACAGCCAAAGTATGTTATCATCTACTTAAGTGGCATAAATAAGCCCACTCTCTAGTGTAAAAATACATGTGTAAAGCTGAACATTTGACTGTAGATATTTTGCTTTCATATTGGCCAGAATTATAAAGCAGAGCTCCAACTGAGATAAGCTGAGCTGAGATGCTCTCGGGTCACCCCATTTGCTAGAACTGAAAGCTGTGCCTGGGTATTGATACATCTCTTCACACAGGAAGTGACCAGCTGAAAGTAAAAAGGGAAGTCCAAACTCTGCTCAAACAGCAGTGAGCAGACTCCAGAGAAAGGTAGACTCATCTGTAGGAGACATCTCATCCTTTTCAGTAGAGTTTCATATAAAGCAAAGGATAAGGATAATCACCAAAACAGACAAGCCAGGTTAGTGAACATGCTGCATGCTGCCACTGTCATCAAGTTGCAAAATATCTACCCATTGGGGTTAAAATATTTTAAACTAGTTGATCTGCTGTCATTTAGACAGAGCTTTAAATGTGAAAGGTTGCACTGTGAGGCTTTAAATGTCCACAATTTACCTCATGGTGATGGAGCAAAGCGACAATTAAATTTGTGAAAAACATGCACCTTATAGTTTAAAGCAACAAGTGGTGGTATCACTTCTCTAGATGAATGGTCCATCCTTAAACACCTAAACACCAACCTTTTCCTGAAAATTAAGTGAAAAATCACAGTACATAAACCTCAGCATACCTACAACATAACTTTTGTCATGATAGTTCTGTATCTTTGATTAATAAATGCATAAAGCAAAAAAAAAAGAAAAAAAACATATTTGAATATTTGGAAATAATAGATATATAAAACCATACATCCAGTGCTGTATGTATGCAATCGGGACATCCTTCACATACCCATATGTATTTAAAATATAAAAACAAAGTGGTGTAGTGTACAGGTAGAGCAACACACTTCACCTGTGTTGCTCTACCTGTATGACAGTACTGGAGGATGAAAACACAACACATAAAGCTGTTCTTACTGAGGAGAGGAGATGTAGTGTTGACATGATTAAACTTTGATTTGATTTGATTTGATTTATTCTTTCAAGCATGTAAAGACAGTTGATATGACAACACACATAATTTTACACATATCCAACAAATGCTAATCCAATATCAATTTGCTTATACCTAGTACATGCTTGAATGGAGTAGGAAGAAGTCAGACTTATCCAGTCCTACCCCATGACATCATCTTACCATCATTGGTTTGCAAGCAGTAAATGATTCACTTCTACACACACACTTAATATTATACTAAAAAATGATTATAACAGTGTTAACATTCTTACATAATTACATTCTTAAATAATTCTCTTCTACACCA